AGAAGCAGGTTGGAACTGCAGCCAAGATCAGAAAACTCTCTAACCCATCAAAATGTCTCCTGGAGGATAATAAGCCACAGTGAGTTGGGCAGCATAAAAATTGATATATAATTAAATAAAATTGCCAGATTTTCAGAGGCTTGGATCTCAGTATTTGATAGCATCATTGGAATAAAATGTGTAATATACCCCTACCTTTAATTCTTCAATCTCAAGCTATGAAGGAGTCCAAATCCAACACCTGGTTTGAAATTGAAGCATAGTGATTTGGCTAGCTAGCTCAATCAAAATGAACTTTCAGCTATCCTGTTTCAACTGTAACAAACTGGACCACCGCTAGATGACAGCAATGAGATATGAAAAACCTAAATTAGTTTCTGCAGCACAGCCAGTTTCACCCTGCTTTTGAAGTTAGGTGTCTAATGACCCCTTCTCATGGAATTGAACTTGTTTTCATGCAAGTTGAGGATGCTAGATCCCTTTCCTTTTCTGCTCGCTTGCTCTCATTTTTTTAAAGTTGCAATGGGATGCCCTCTTAAGTAGAGGTAAATTCCTGAATTCAACAGGTGCTATTTCTAACTATTACCGGGCCTCTCCTTCCAGGCATTTAGGTATCTGAGCAGTCGTCCCACTGGTTCAATGTCCACTTCACCTGCAATTTCAAACAGCTTCACGACCAACATGTGATTCTTTTTTCTTTTAGAAAGACTGGGTCTAAACAGGAAAAAAAAATCTGTACTTTTGCCAGAATCCTCCATATAACAAGTCTTTCCAATAGCAAAGAAGGTGCTCTACCAGCTGAAAGAACGACACCACCACTCTGTAACCTAAAAAGGAACAATCATCTCAGTATGTTTCTAACAGATCAACTTTCTGTGGTTTTTTTCTAATCTTGAGGAAATGGCAATTGATCTGGGACTATGTTCAAATAACAAAGATCAATAAATTAAGCGACTGTGGACCTGCAGGTCAAACCACTCCTATCTGTGTGAAAAATCAGCCCATTATCCTACACTTTGTGCATCGGAGCTGAAGGAAATCAGTTTAAGACTTGCTCAGTCAAGCAGCGCTTCGTGTTTTCATTAACTGAAGGGGTCCATAGTCAACAGCACTGGAATAAGGTGCAGGCTATGGAATAGACTTGCCCAGGACAGTCCTGTTATAAGCCCCCCCCCTCCGATCCACACTGGAGAGCCAGATGGAAAGGTCGAACCCCACCATTTCGGCAAAATTATTGAAGAGCTTTCTCTTCCCTGCCAAGTTAGAACGCCTTAGCATCGTAAATGTTTATTTATTTTATTTATGAGACTTATATACCGCTTTAAGTGCAAGCACTCTCTAAGCGGTGTACACCAGTAAGCAATGTATATATATATTTACATTGCCCCCAACAATCTGGGTCCTCATTTTACCTACCTCGGAAGGATGGAAGGCTGAGTCAACCTTGAGCCGGTGAGATTTGAACCGCTGACCTGCTGAACACAGTCAGCTAAAGTGGCCTTTAATAACTTTAATAACTAAGTAATCAGAATTAAGCCCGATTCCCATACAATATAGGCTTAAGATCTAAGCGCACGAGATAGTTCGCTCCAAGTGACTAAATATTCAACATTTTTAGGTCCCTAAAAACTGGTGTGAAGAAAAGAAAAAGAGAGAAAGAGAGAGAGAGAGAGAGAGAGAGAGAAAGAGAAAGAGAGAAAGAAAGAAAGAAAGAAAGAAAGAAAGAAAGAAAGAAAGAAAGAAAGAAAGAAAGAAAGAAAGAAAGAAAAACAACCCTGAGCCTCGCTTAAGGTTTTTAGTGAAACCGCCCGGATTCTGCCGGATCGGGTCCTTTGAATGTAGCGTTTCGGAGGCCGAGTCCCAAAGGTTATGTGAAAGTCAGCCCTACCCCACTCCTTTGAATGTAACTTCCAAGGGACGAGAAGGGGGGGGTGGGTGGGCTGCTTATCCCGCCCAGCCAGGCCGCGAAGCCTTTGCATAACTAGTGGGAAGTAAATCCTCTTCAAGCAGATGGGTTTTATTTGGGCTCTCCTTTGGCTTGCCTCCCAAATGATTCGTTCCGGTATGTTCACCGGTGGCGGAACTGCTGCTCGTCGACACTCTGGGAAGAGAGCGGGCTGGCAGCGAGAGGTCGCACAATGCGGCCGCGGCACGGAGGCGTCTGCTTTGCTCGCTCAACACCTAGGGCGTTTTCTCCAGGAACGAGGCGGCGGAGGTTTTCCTGGCGGAGAGCCTGCCCACCTCGCACGTGCGAGCGGGGAGAGCCAGCCAGCCAGCCAGCCTGTTTTGGGGGCTTTTGCGCGAAGTCCCCTTTTTCCACCTTGCACTGTCCCTTTAACACAGTGTTCCTCAACCTTGACCATTTTAAGGCATGTGGACTTCAACTCCCAGAATTCCACAGCCAGCATTGCTGGCTGTGGAATTCTGGGAGTTGAAGTCCACATGCCTTAAAATGGTCAAGGTTGAGAAACACTGCAAGTTTGGACAGTCAACCCCGCAATCCCCTAGCTCAGTGGTTCCCAAACTTGACAATTTTAAGGCATGAGGACTTCAACTCCCAGAATTCCACAGCCAGCAACGCTGGCTGTGGAATTCTGGGAGTTGAAGTCCACATGCCTTAAAATTGTCAAGTTTGGGAAACACTGCCCTAGCGGCGCGTAAGCACGCCAAGCAAGCCTTCGCAGGGTTCGCCTTCGAGACGGCGCAAATAAGCTGGGAAGTAAATTTTCGTCGGGTGAACGGGGTGGTGGTGATGGGGAGAGGGGGGACTCCTGTAGCCTGGTAGAGAAGCATAAAATCCCGCCAGGTCACGTGGCTCCTGGTCACGCCAAGGCTGGGCAGCTACTCAAAAGTTTTGAGGGCCGGTGATAAAACTGTTTCTCTTGACGCAGAAGGCAGTTCATTCCGCCCGATTTCAGCGCAGCCCCAAGACTTCTGAGGAGACGAAAACGACCTCTTCTGAGGTGCCTCTCCTCTTTTCTTGGTCACAAGTGGTTCCAGGTCAACCTGGATCCTACAAGTGGCTCCAGGTCAACCAATTGCTTGCAGTGTTTGCAGAAATAGAGGAAAAGAGGCCTCTTTTATGTTTTCTTTCCTTCCCCACAGCGCCGAGATGTCTTGTGTATAAATCCCCATGCCCTGTTCGGAGGGCAGGCCTGGTATTACGAGACAATAGCTGTGCATGGAAGGGGAGGTGCAGGATGAAACAGGAAGCCTTTGGACAGTCAAGAGCTGCCTGGAATTCTCCAGGAAAAGCGACCGGAACACATCTATCACTGCCATGCGAAGGACAGAAGCACCCTTTCGTGATAGATAGCCTCGTCGTTCCTACGAAATAAGACCCTGGGGTTTCAGTAGAGCTTCCTTCCAACTACATTCTAAGAATATTAGTTCCCAGCTATGGGGCTGAAACCTAACGCTTATTTCCCCACCCTTATTAAAGCCCTTCCCCTTAGTTCCTCGGCATTTCTTTCCGAAGAAGCATTGTGTAGGATTAACGTAATAAAATTCTCTTCCTAGAAAGATGCAGTTAGTTCAACGGGCCTGATTTGCAAACAAATTTGATTGAAATGTGGGTAATCCCCACACTTTCTATAGTTCTGCTGAAATATTTTATGGCTGTTCAATAATATACATGGTTATATATATCACCCATCCATCCATCCGTCCATCCGTCCATCCGTCCGTCCATCCATCCGTCCACCCACCCACCCACCCACCCACCCACCCACCCACCCACCCACCCACCCACCCACCCACCCACCCACCCACCTATCTATCTATCTATCTATCTATCTATCTATCTATCTATCTATCTATCTATCTATCTATCTATCTATTTATCTATCTCTATCCATCTATCCATCTATCCATCTATCTATCTTGTATTATTTCTCTCCATCCCATGATTATTTTTCTCTTTAGGTCTTGTATATGCAAATTTCTTAAATGAATAATTTGGCAGACCCTTCGGTTTTGCTACCTAGAGAACCAGACTTGTAGCTTTTCAATTTATTGTTCTAAATAAACAGAATAGCAGATTTGAAGGGTAAAAAAAATATTCTGTCTTTCCTGAAACAAGGTACGGGCAATGCACGCAAAGGAGAAGGGAGACTAGTGATTCTCACAAATGTGTGTCTTGTTATGCTTTCTCTTCCTTCTTTGAGTTCCAACGCAGCCCCTGAAACTCAAATAAAACTGTTTCTGCAATGTTTTTAAAGGCTTCCAGGAAACGAGGAGGAATCCTGGCTCTCGGACAGGTGGGTCCAGAAGAAAAGAAAAGTTAGGGCACGAAGCCGATCTCTGAGCAGAACTCTGGCCTTTAACGGAGCCACGAAGTTGGCCCTATAGCAGCGTTGCTCTTTCCTTTTAAAAAGTGTAAGCATTTTCTGGTGTTTTCCCATCAAGTACCTGCCCAGTTTCTGTATGGCACACGCCAGGAATCAATAGACGTTAACAAGGCCTCCAAACATTTCCCCCCCACCACCCCAACCACTCTTTGTTTAATCGCCTTTACAATCCCGCAAAAGGAGAGGGAATTAAAGATCTTTGAAGTCCTCCGGTTTACAAAAGGCTCAGCCAAGTAGACTTAAAACACTCCCGTCTTTTCCAAAAACGGGTTTGTCGAGGAACAATCGGAGGAAGTAAAATTTATGGAGAAATTATACAGTGGATTTGTCACTTAAAATATCGTAACTGTCTCGGGGACAATCCCCCATGCTGAGGATTAATGGTCCCTCCAGACCTTTGATTCACCAGCGCCTTTTCTTTGCCCTTGACAAATTGGATTTTTAGGAATGGGAAGGTCGCCTGGGCCATTGTTGGCTGCCCCATTCAAAAAAAAAAAAGGGGGGGAAGGCCCTTGATTATGCGCTGCGGAGTGAGGGAGGGCAGGAGGAGGAGGGGGAGGCAAGGGGTAGGGAAAAGCGCCATGTGATCCTCTCGCGTGGAACTCGGCAGCTGCTTCAACTCTCTCGCCCGCCCCAACCGGGCGCTCCTGGAGCGCCGTCGTGCCAAGGGGAGAGCCCTCGTCGGGGAGCAATTGAAAAGGCGGCGCGCACCCCCGGCCGCGTCACTCACTCTGCGGGCGGAGAGAACACCAGGGCGTCTCAGCCCCCGCCGCCGCCGCTCTTCTGCTAGCACTCCAGTGCGCCCAGAGTTGGACCAGCTTTCCCAGCGCCGCGCGTCCTTGCCCAGAGGCAGCAATGCTAAGCAGCCGGCCCCCGCCGGCCCTCGGCATCACCGCGGAGAGCAGCGTCCCGGCTGGCCTGCGCCTGGGTCCTGTGCCCGGCACCTTCAAACTGGGCAAGTACCTGTCCGATCGCAGGGAGCCGGGACCCAAGAAAAAGGTATTGCTCCCACACCTGGGCGGAAAGCGCAGAGGGAGACCTAGAAGCCCAGACGGCTGAAGGGGAGCAGATCCCTTCGTAGGGTGGGGTGGGGTGGGGAAACAGCGCGCAAGAAGCCCTACTTTACTTCCCTCGTCCCGCCGGCAGAAGGAGAAAGGCAGGGAAGGGTTTGAGTCTCTGAGGCATCTGGGTTGGGTGACCTCCTCGTCCTGACGCCATTCAGACGTTTAGATTTAATGAGAGAGCTGGCTTTGGTCACACACACACACACACACACACACACACACACACACACACACACACAAATTTACTGGCATGCATTACTTTTCCTTCTCCATCCCGAATGGCTTTTGACACTCAGCATAACTCCCCCCCACCTCTTGTTGTCTCTTCCCAAATAACCTGAAGGCAGGATTCATAATTAAGAACTCATTAAATGATCAAGAGAGAGAGTCCTCGGAGTGGGGTGAACGTGGCGGCAACGCAATCTCGCCTGGTACGGAACCGGTCCTCTAGGCAGAAGTGTGGGCAGGTAGCTGGTTAAAGCAAAGTCAGCCGTCTTGGAGCACCGCCACCCCACAGGCAGTTTAATGAGGCACTAGTTGCTTTATTCTAAAGACTATTCCACAGAGGTAGCACTCACGTTCACAGGAATATAGAGCAAACAACAACAACAACAACAACAACTTTGCAAGCTGTGGATTTATAGAATCGCCTGATTTTTCACATGTCTTTGCCAAGATCAGAATAACTAGGCAAGTTTTGTCATGGAGCTTTGGGCCACGTTGGAGAGATGCCTGCTGCATATCCCAAGCCGTTGCTGACATAGTCTATCTATCTCATCTTCTAATGCCGAGTCATGATAATTATAGGGGCATTTTGATCCGGATGAAATATTTATTTAGCAAAATGAATCGGGACTATTTTCCAAACAGAGCTCTGTGGGACATTAATAATATCTATGCACCCCAAAGCTATAAATGAATTCCAGAGTGAAACGGTTTCAGGGATATGAGAATTTTTCCAGATGAATCTAACAGGAGACAACTTGGCCCCCAAGTTCAGCGATCTGTCACAAGCCCCCCCCCCCATAGCCTTTAATTGTTTTTAAGCGCTTGGCCAAGACTCTTCAAATTTATTTCTCATCCAGCTCCCTCGGTTGCTCCCTTTAGCATGCCTTTGGAAGAATGATGTTTATTGTGCAGTCTTTCAGCGAGGTAGTTCCTCACCCGCACTCTCTCTTTCCCGTGTTCAAGCAGATTATGAAAGGTAAGAGAGATCTGGTGACTAAACCGAGTCACCTATGCTTTCTCTTCCTGAACACGTCCGATTAGATGATTAATTAAGTAATTAATTACACTGAAGGGGATTGAAACCAGGAGATCGGTGCAGAGATTTGCCTGGGTGGATGGAAAAACAGAGCATTTTGAAAGGTGGCTGCAACTAACCATGGGGCAGTAGAGTCAGGGCAGAGAAAGTGAAAGGAAAAGTAAAGGCTGGTTTGCCTCCCCCCCCAAACTCCCCCCCCTCGATTTTTCACTTGCCAGGAATTTTTCTGAAGCAGCATGAGGGCGATCTGTTACTTTCTGCCTGCTGGGAGAAAATAAGGGCAGCAAAACCCAGTTTGAAGCCTCAGTTCTTGGAAGGCAGGCTAATTAAACTCAGAAGGACTTACTTCGAGGAAAGATGCAAGCTCCTTTATGGCCGCAGTACTAGCTAGACCACCTGAACACCAGCCCTTCAATTTAAGTGGATCTGGCCCTTCTTTTTCCCCACGGTGCCTAGGCAAACCTGTTCGGAGGGTCTTTTAGCAGAAATAAACGAAAATCGAAGAAAACACTAGGCTTAATACTGACCCTGACTTAGTACTAGGCTTAGTCCTGACACTACTCCTTTAAAGACAATCCAGATTTACTGCTGAGTACATAGGCGTTTTTCAATTCAGCGCTCTAAATCCAAGGTCCATTTTTTTTTAAAAAAAAAAATTCCTCGCACTCAATCGCTTAAACCAGATTCTGGTTTGCAGCCGTGGCTGTAAGTGGCCCATGTTTGCCCCTCTAGGGATGCGATTTTTCTGGACATTGAGCCGACGATAAGCCCCGACGGAACTTACTTCGGAGTGCCTGCTCCTGGGGGCCACTGGCAATGGTCTCCTGGCTGCACCAGGTGGCTAAGGAGCTCAGCCCACCGACAGGTCCCTTTTCTTTGCAAGCGGCAGGAGTCCTTTCTTAGCGGCCAGAAAGCTCCAGGGTGAGTGAGAACAATTAATCAGTGGAACAGCCTGCCTCCAGAAGCAGTAAATGCTCCAACACTGGAAGTTTTTAAGAAGAGACTGGACAGCCATTTGTCCGAAATGGTGTAGGGTTTCCTGCCTGAGCAGGGGGTTGGACTAGATGACCTCCAAGGTCCCTTCCAACTTTACTACTATTACTATTACTAGGGAGAAGGAACTCAACAGATCCCGCCCTGATTGGAACGCCGGCTTCGAACGCGCGCCCTGCAAAGGCAGCGCAAGCCAGTGGCCAAGTCCCTGACCGGCTACAACTGACCGGCTTCCCCTGTTTTTCAGGTGAGGATGGTGAGAGGGGAGCTGGTGGACGAAGCTGGAGCCTCGGCTGTGGAATGGATCGGGCTAATCCGGGCTGCCCGACACGCGCAAGAGCAGACGCTGGAAGCGGTGGCCGATCTGCCGGGGGGACAGGTACTGGCCTCCTAGCTTGCTCCCGGTAACCGGAGAGGCGGATAGGGGCGCCCTCCGGGTCTGGAGGTGGCGAGGCTCGCCCCCTCTGAGCCGCCGAGGGTCTCAAGCCTCTCGTTTCTCCTTAGATTTTCTACCGGGCCTTGCGAGACGTCCAGCCGGGCGAGGAGCTGACCGTGTGGTATTCCAACGCTTTGGCTGAGTGGTTTGATATCCCGGCCACGGCGACCCCGACCCACGACGAGAAAGGTAGGCTCCTGCGAGCGAGCATCTCGGCTGGGGCAGACGGCTCTGGTCCCGCCCGGGTGTCTTGCGACTGACTTTCACGTAGCTACTGCAGTCCCGTCCCGTCCACCTCAGTTTAAAGCCCCAACGGCTTTGATTCGGAGGAATGGAAGCCCAATGGGATTAGCCCCCACTGCGGATCTGGATTTCCTGCCAGGGCGGGCACACCCACCACTCGGGCGCAGCGTCGGGGAAAAGACGGCGTCTTACCGCTTCATCGCGCCGCGTGTTCAACTCCACCGCCAAGGAGGCAAAAGGCGGCGGTAGGAAGCCGCGAAGCCACCTCAAGTCTCCTACCGGCCCCTCGTAGCTTACCTCGTATAGCCAGGAGAAGGCAGGCTCCATCACTGGTGGCCTAGGCAAGGTTCTCGAAAGATGGGGGAACAGTTAATAAGCCCTAACATGCAATATTTTTCCATTTTAAACACGAAGTCCAGAGACCCTTTATTTGGCAGCAAATCCTGAGATGGTATATAGGTTCTCCTGCTTGAGTAGGAGGGCTGGACTAGACGATCTCCAAGGTCCCTTCCAGCTTCTATTCTATTCTATTCTATTCTATTCTATTCTATTCTATTCTATTCTATTCTATTCTATTCTACTCTATTCTATTCTACCCTACCCTACCCTACCCTATTCTACTCTACTCTACTCTACCCTACCCTACCCTACCCTACCCTACCCTACCCTACCCTACCCTACTCTACTCTACTCTACTCTACTCTACTCTACTCTACTCTACTCCTACGGAGCCGTCCTACAGTTGGGGGGATTTCTTGATATCAAGATACGCTGTTCTCCGGAAAAAAAGGACCCCGAGGGGTCTAACGGTCTTGGGCTCCAAATTATCAGTGTAAAAGATGGCAAGGTTTATGTTGCTCTGCAGGAAAGCTGGCAGATTTAGGCTGATCTTCAAGAAAGAAGGGGAGGGGAAAGTAAGTGGGTAAAAGAGGGGATGATGAAATGAAATGGACCCCCCCATGTTTTTGATTAAACTGGGCGCTAGCATCTTCACTTCCTATTTGAAATGGTAGGAAGTTTTCTTTGCCTTTTGGAGGCATCGCCCACCTCCTGTGTGAGACAACGGCATAGAGCTAAGGAAGAAGTGGCCCACCTTTAATGATTGGAAACCGGCCTTAGCTTGGCGGGGGGGGGGGAAACCTGAGGGATGTAGTGGGCGGGGCAATGAAATTGGTTTCAGGGATGAAGACAAAGTTTCTTGTGGTTGGGGGAGGGGCTTGGAGCTTTTAGTTTCCTGAACTCTTTTTAAGGTTTCCTCTATATTCCCTTTTTCCAAATGGTGAGAAAGCAGAGCAGAGTCTTGGTGGTGTGGGGAAAAAACAGGCTCACGAGTCAGCAATGCACAAATCTTTTATTTCAAAAAACATTTCTTAGAAATAGCTACTAACAAGCCCCAGTGGGTCAGATTCTTTGCCTGCTAGTCCACAATTGCCTATTCCATCTTTCTGGAATTAATTTATTTATTTAACATATAGGTGACCCCAATCTGGTATGACTCTGATGGCCTATCTAGAAGTCCAGTTCATGCTTCCAGTCAATGTGCTAGAATTGCAAAAGTCTCCAAGGAAGGTCTACTCCTGATGCCAGTGATTGCTTTCCTAAGTTTCAGTCTAGCATTTTAAAACTTGGGTGCATATTCCACTTCTGAGTTTAAAGAAGTCAGACAGGGAACAGTTCTAGATTGGGGACAAATTTCTGATTTACATATACAGGATTGTAGTACATAATTTCTTATACAGAAGCTGTTCTAGCAGTCCTTGTTTAAAAACCTTCTACATCCCCTCTTAAGGGATATTGTTGCTTCATTATTTTATTTCTTACCTTTCTAACACTGGGGGCACATTTCTTTCTTTGGTTGATTCATCACTGTCGGTTACAGCAATTTTATGACAAAGTCCTCAACACTTTATTCTAGGATAAGGAGCTGGAGAGTAATCAAACCAATAACAGGTGGTTTTCTGGGCAATTGTACAGGAAGTGTAAAGCTTTTTCTAACTTGGTAGTCTAGCTTAGGCATTTCCTAGTGGTCTCCCTTCTAAATGCAAAGTAGGTCTCACCCTTCCTAGCTTTTTCTGGATCAACTAATAATACAAGAGCCTTTCTAAAACTGTTCTTTTCATCATCTGTACTTAGCAATGAGGTTCCTGCTGTTGCCGGGAGCTGCCCACAACGTCCCCAGGAACTGAGCCTTCTCTAGAGTTTTTATGTAGAGTTAATCCAATTAGAACCAAATCGGTCTGGTTCCCAGTGGAAGTGCTGCAGGGCAGCAAAGCCCTTGGCAAAGAGTGAGACTCGCTCCCCAGTTACTCTTTTCTTATTTAGCTCATTCCTCAACCTTTCTTCTGGATGCTGCTAATCTGAAATTCCGGCTGCACCTCGCTTTAAATGACCTTAGGAGATGTTTAAAGGCGGTGGCCAGCGATCTTTTTCACTCGAAGAGATTCTCAGATTCTCATCTAGCCCTTGGAGGGAAAAAGTCCCTTCACATACAACAGGTCGAGAGGGAGACGTGGCACAGCAAACGGTAACCTCTCCATTCAGCCGGTGCAGATTGAATAAATGAGGCTCTTAGGAGCAGACCAAAAGCGGGCTGTGTATCTTTCTGGGCACGTGGAGAGGGAGGTAGGAACCAAGAGACTTTCTAATTAGACCTGATTCTATTTCCAAGTCGTTGTCACTTGAAACTTATAAGTCGGTCACAATTTCTAGTATCTAGCCTTCCATTCCTAGCAAAGGTTGACTTGTGTATCTCTTCCCTACTCATTCAAAGCACGTGGGTTATCAAGTCGGACTGAGAGCAAACTATTTCTCACGGACTCGAATACTAGAGAGATTTTGACCCTTCCTTTCTCTCCTTTTCCCCCTCCCGCACCTTATCCTTCCGAAGGTGAGCCGAATTAGGAAGATCTGCTGGAGAGGAAAACCTAGAGACAGCCAGTGAGAGGGAGAAATGGGGAAATTAAACACTTAAAAATAAGTTTGTAAGAGGTCTCGGCAAGAATGGCTGATGACGACCAAGGATGGTGAGATAGCAGCCCAGTTATAGTTGGGGACAAAGACTGTGCTTCAGTGTCTTTTTCCAACCTGAATTCCTTACAATGTGTGGGACCAGGACTCTCCTCATTTAGGGACAGAAAATCCAAAGCTGGTAGGAACCGCCCATACTTAAGCTTCTCTGGCCAGGCGAGTCAGCAAGCCAGAGAAAGAAACCCCAATTTATGGAAGCAACACTTCATTCAGAAGTTTTATAAAGTAGTTGCAAGCTTTCAAGTTTTCGAGAACTCTTCATTAGACAAGTGGACAGAAGAGAGAACCTAGGAGAAAATGCGAACTATGATTGCACCAGATGAGAGCTTAGGTAGAGTGAAGGAGAGCTTTTGCACCTGCAAACTGGGCTTTGGATGTTCCCTTCCTTCGGGAATATATATTTCAATCAATACATTAAAACGGTTTCCCTTGGTCCTCCCAAAAACAGCTTTGTATTGTTGGCTCTAACGTTTGTCGGTTTTGTTCTCCACCCAAGTTCCAGTTTGCGAGATGAGCGGCCATATAAATAGATCGACTGATTGGTCGAATAAATAAATAAATAAATAAATAAATATTTTCCGCAGAAGGGAGGTAATCTCTCCAAGTTTTTTTTTTTAAATCATTGGGAAACTAGAACGAAGGCCCATCTCCATTTTTTTTTTAAAAAAAAAACAGGTTCAAATGGATGTACCAGTAGGTAGCCAACAAATTTAGGCAGTCACAGAATTTATTTGCAAAGATTAAATAACAAGTCTGGGCTTAAATAACTGAAGAAGAACTGAAGGATACAGTTTTTCTCAGCGCAAGCCCCCCCCCCCAGCTATTATAGGAATACAACTATTAGTTTGTTTGTGAGATTTTGTATTTCACCCAGCGTTTCCTTTAGGAATAGACTTCCATGTCTATTCACCTCCTTCCTCCTCCACCACCATAAACCTGTGATCCGGAAAAAAGTTGTGTCCCCAGACTGGTGGGAATGTTCATTCTTGGGTGACCAATATTAACACAGTAATTCGGTCTTATTTTTAATTGGTGTTGTACTTCGATTCAGAGAGGTTTTGCAACCCGTTCCAGATCTTTTTGTGTCCTGCCATTTGATAACTAGCTTTTCAGTTCCCTATCAAGTGGTGGTGTTTAGAATCTTCTTTCCAAATACGAAATTTACTTTAGTGAGGTCTCCCCCACAGCAGTTGACACCAGCACTGGAAAAACGATATATATATATATATATATATATATATATATATATATATATATATATATATATATATATATATATATATATACACACACACACACAACACACACACACACACACATATATATATATATATATATTATATATATATTATATATATATATATATATATATATATATATATATATATATATATATATTGACATTTTCACTCCCTCTGAACTTAATGGATGCTGCTGGATAACCAGAAGATTAATATCGCTGGCCAGCACTCCGGCATAATCTTCGTTTTTCCTCTCCACCCACAAACCACAGAAACGTGGATGGCTTAGCAACTCCCAGAACCTCACCCGACCTGAGCCAAGTCGCTTTCACCCACTTCGGGGGGACAAACTAAACATTTCAGGAAGGGAGCCCACAGGCCATTGCCTTTTGAATCAACCGATTCCTTATGGCCCATCCATCTATTCTAGGCCATTGTCTTGCCTGGTAACGAGAGGTTCACGAGCGTTAGATTGCCCTTTGTCCCCCGATTCCCTTCCCTGACATACGCTACCTATTCTGTCCGCGTCAACAGATGGGCCGCCGGACCCGAGCGTGAAGGCAGCAGCTGCTGGCGCTAGCAGCCTCCTGGAGTCCCACAAGCAGCCCCGCTGCAGCGCTCGCCGCCTTCTCCAGCTTTATTGCTCTTGCTCCACTGTCACCTCTTCGGGGGCCCCCTCCGCCCCCCCAAAAGAGAAACGTATTAACTGAGAAAGGTGCCCCGCAACTGAGACATTCATATCGTTATCCAGTCTTTCCACTTTTCTCAACGAAGTCAGATGCGAATTGCAGCCTGATTCAGATTCTCCAAAGACTTGTAAATTGCTTTGATCGTTCCACTGTCTTCGTGTAACTTATCGTCTGGGCAGAAAATTGGGCTAGGAATTACATAAGTAACCGAGGGACCATGCAGTGAACCGTTTGGACTACCGAGAAGCAGTGGCAAGGTTCTTTTGAGACTGCGGTCTTAAAGATGACAGGTCTGCTTGTATTTGCTAAGCTGTATTTCTGAGTAAGGAAGCAGAATGTTTAGCATCAGACAAATTAATAACAGGCAACATATCGCTGGTTAAACTCACGCTTTCTTATGAAGAAGGAGACCTTAAAAACTGAACTGATTTTCTGTGGCATAAGATGGCTCACACAAAGTACCTTTTCACGTGGGGTCTGAAGCAAGCTTAAACTTGCAAAGAATGCCAAAATATCGAAGGAGTAAGATATCTATCTATCTATCTATCTATCTATCTATCTATCTATCTATCTATCTATCTATCTATCATCTATCTATCTATATCTATATCTATCTATCTATCTATCTATCTATCTATCTATCTATCTCTATCTATCATCTCTATATATATATCTATATATCTCTATCTATCTATCTATCTATCTATCTATCTATCTATCTATCTATCTATCTACATATATATCACTCAATCACTCAATCCATTATAAGTATACATGCATCCTTGATTTGGATAAGAGCAATTTGTGAAGAAAGGTGATGGGAGATGAAATGTGGAAAGTAACTCAGCATTACAAAGATATGTGTTGATAAGAGATACATTTATTGTATTGGTGAATCAATTAGAACACAAGTTATGATTTTTCTCTAACAAAAATACTATTTCCTCAGGATTTTTATGAATTATAACCTATATAATCTGCCTATAAAGTGTCTTTGTTCAAGAATGTCTACCATAAAACAACCTCTTGGGAGGTTGAAGAGTCTTGTTGCTGTTCTATGGATATTGACATTTTAAACATCAGATTTCATGTACTTGTTTGTGTAAATATTGGCTATCCTGGATAGAGGCAGAAAGCTCTTGTTGCCAAAGATAACATATGTGTCATTTTAAGATGTGACTATGGAAACCCCTGATATTGGAGAGGAACCTCATTAGGCTTTCCAGAATAGGTGAAGAGGGATAATTCAGGCATCTCACTTTGTAACAAGATATGATTTGTCAGTCTGTAGCACTGTTAGTGGTTGTGTTTGTTGCTGATAAAGAGTAGGGAGAAGAAATGGAGAGGAGTGAAATCGGAGGGAAATGGCATTCACAAAGAATAACCTATCAAATGAAACTCAAAAATTGTCCACAAAATCTAAAAGTTGCAATTATATAGAGTCAACAGTATACCTGACCATATGCATAAGAACTAATTAGCATTTGCAGAGAGACAAACTCATTTTGACAGAAGGCAAGAGATGTTACTGGAATATGATGATTCATTTTATAAAAGATCTTTTATACTGACTCCACTTAAATTCAAGATAGCTGATTATGACATCCTTGGCTGCCCAGTTAATCACATACCCAAAGCATTCAGGACAAGAACTCAATTCTGCAGTTGTAATCAAGGGGAAAATGGTTTCCAGGTAAGAGGAAAGCAATCTAACTTCCCCATTATGTGCATGTACACTCCAGAACTTGTACTATGGGTTGGGTTGGTCAGTTCGGATTTTTGTTTGCCAGACAAATTGATTACTTCATGCTAAACCGGTTAAAGTAGTACATTAATGACCCAAGATGCTGAATCTATAAATAGATAAGAGCAGGGCTAAGAGTATTGCTAAAATAATTAAAGGGAATTTAATTGCGCCCAGAGTCTTCCAAATTATTAGATGTGCAATATGAGTAGGGTCTGTTTTGAAATTGACAAGTGGGATTTGGCCAAGAAATTTTGGTTCAGTGCTTGTCATTCTAGAGATGAGTCAGGCTTGCCATAATTGTTAAATGACTCATCCATATATTGTTTTAATTCTTTTATATTCAGAATTATTCTTAATGTGATAACACTAGACAACTCTCCTTTCTGTTGCCTTTTTCAGTTTCTAGTATAATAGCAAAAATCTTACTGTAGAACCAACATAAAAGTTTACTCTTGACTTCCAGTGTTAAAAAAGAGACACTTAAAGTAAATTAATTAAAATCAAACCCTATTAACTTAAAGTTTAGAAATAATAATGAATAATCATTATATATTATATATGCAAGTAACAGCTGCTTATCCCAAATTCTTGGGATGGAATCAATAGGTAAATTAAAAATGCCAATTCTAGTCTAAACATCCGGCTGACTGTGAGACTAACCATAATATACTGAATTTGTGTCTCTAGGACTGCAGAAGTATAATAATTAAAATATTTTAAAAGTTCTATTTCTATTACTTCTACCATTCTCACAATAGTTATGCGATTATAATTGCTTAAAGTTAAGCAATTATCTTTAAGTTATGAAAATGTCAGATTGGGCTGTTTTAGAATTTGCTCTCATTTTGTAATAGGAGAAAAGATTCTGCAATATCCAGAACTACTACAAGTTGAAACTTACTCTATTTTACTAGCAACTTTAGGGCAAGCTCACGCACCTGCATAACCTTGTTTATCAACATAATGGAGACGAAAGTGATATATCACTGCGGTGTGAACCAAGGCGTGGCAATTCAGAGATTGTTGGAAAATTGTTCGGACTCATGAAAGGAGCAATTAAGTGGGAACTACTAATTAGGGAACTACTAATAGTCAGCAGTTACACTGACCTCTGCTTCAACAGATTCCCCCCAACCGCCCCCTATCACCACCCTCCCCTTCCTAATATCTTTAAATCTTTGTCAAGTGGCGCTTGGTACATTTCGGGTTGTGGTAATCGATCTCCCGGTTTGTTTTTCCTTGCTAGGCGAGGAGCGCTACATTTGCTGGTACTGCTGGCGAACCTACAAGTACCCCAACAGCCTCAAGGCCCACGTCCACTTCCACTGCGTGCTGAACCACGGCCGCGGCTTCGCAGGAGCGCCAGAGTCCCACAGGCCCGGAGATCTCTTCGGCACAGCTCTGAAGCCGGCAGCCGCGCCGCCTCTGAGGCCCCCTTACCCGGCCGCGTCCCGAGATGTTGTCAAGCGGGAATCCTCCGGCTCGCCGTCCTCAGCCAAAGGGGGCGGGAGCGGGCGCAAAGGCGCCAAGGCCGAGCAGGAGCGCGCCTTGGACATGACCGTCGGCTCGGGACGGAGCCCGGGACAGTTCTGGGGTCTGCTGGGCAGCACTTCCGGAGGCAGCAACGGCTTGTCTTTCTACCCCGGAGTGAGGTCGGCCTTCAAGCCCGCCGGCCTGGCTAAAGAGGACTCGCCCGCTTTTCGGGAAGAGGGCAAAGGCGGAGGTTTCAGCAAGGCCTCGGGGAGCCTCAAGCCGGGCCGCCTGTGCGGCCAGACCGGCGGTTCCCGCCATCCGCCTCCTCACAGCAAATGCCACCCGGCGCCCGCCCCGCCGCCCTCCTCCTCCTCCTCCTCCGCGGCGGGGCTGGCCTACTCCGGGGCCGTCCGGGGCTTCCCCTTCCTGACGCCCTTCGAGGAAAACTCCGCCTTCAAGCACGTGGAGCGCGGCTTCTCGGCCAATCTTTCCCCTCCCGCCAGCCGCTACCCGCGGTTGGCGGGCGGCGCCGGACTCCATTTGGAGCGCTTCGCCGCCCTGCCTCCCTTCGAAGGGCTGGCGCCCTACTCGCCCTCCGGGGACTGCCCGCTCCCGCCCCTCCTGCCTTCCTTTGCCGTCTACAACGGCGAGCTGCTCTACAGCGCCCCCTGCTACCCGCTCAACCTCCACTTCGGCAACTTCCTCAAGTACCCGGAGTCGGCGCCCTATTTCAGCAGGGCCGCGGCGGGCCTCCATCCGGCCGAGCTGGGCTCGTTGGCCGGCGTCGACCGCGAGATGGCTCTGCACACGCATCAGTTCTCGGAGATCGCCGCGGCCGAGAAGAGCCGCGGCCGCCTGGAGAGCTTGCCGGCCCCGCCGGCGGGCCCGGCCGGCGGCAAGCCCAAGACGGGCCACCTGTGCCTGTACTGCGGCAAGCTCTACTCGCGCAAGTACGGCCTGAAGATCCACATGCGGACTCACACCGGCTACAAGCCGCTCAAGTGCAAGGTCTGCCTGCGGCCTTTCGGCGACCCCAGCAACCTGAACAAGCACATCCGGCTGCACGCCGAAGGCAACACGCCGTATCGCTGCGAGTTCTGCGGGAAGGTCCTAGTCAGGCGCCGAGACTTGGAAAGGCACGTCAAGTCCCGGCATCCGGGCCAAAGCTTGCCCAAGGGCGCCGCCGAGGAGCTCCAGGAGCCAAAGACGGACAACGAGAGCGACGTCGACGTCTGCTTCACGGACGATCACAGCGATCAGGACACCGGAAGCAGCGGCGGCGGCTGCCGGTCCAAAGAGCAGCAATAAAAATAAACCGGACCGGGGGTGGATGCCATAGAGTTGGGGGGGGACGGGGTCGGACACTGGGGTGACCAAAGCTGCTAGGCTCCTCGGAATGAACTCTCTCCTTCCTTCCACTCGCTCGGAGGAGCTGCTGAGTACAATATTCAATTCAATCGACATACTGTATCCCTGGGCTAGAAAGGGGAAGCTGTCCGTCCAGCTGGTTAAGTTCAGGGGTATTTTAAGGTCTGCCCTTAAGAAATAATCAATTGGGCATCTGCTTTCCCCAGTACATCTCCTCCGGATGGCCTCAGTCAGCCTCAGCCAAGAAGGGAGGATGGGGGGCAAGGGCAAAAGTTTGCAGGGCTGACCGAAACCTCTGAAGGACCGGAGACTTTTGGCAGCTGGGGTTCAGAGGTTTTGTTCGTGAAAGGGAATCACACCGTGGTGGGAGGCGTAATCCTGGTGCTGTGCCGTCCAATTGTCTAGGTTCCCTGCAGGGTTGATCAGTAAGTGGGTTGGGGATTGCAGAACGAGCTCTGCTAATGTGTGACTGGTGAGTGTGTGATTCAGTGTGTTGTGCCAATAGCCATACTTTTATCAACTGATGGTAGTGCCAAGAGATTCAGGTTGTCTTTGCAAGCAAGTTTCACCTAGGTTATAGTCTAAATCCTACTGAACTGTGGACTGACTTCTGATAAGATTGGCCTGCTGCCATTTTCATCCCTTAGGTTTCTGTGGCAAAATATGTTTTCTCTTCTTCAACTGTTTAGCATGTCATAATGAACTGGATAATTCTTAATTAAGACATCCTACAATCATCTTTGTGGCAGTATAAAGCCTGACTTCATTAGTGTTGTACTGGCAGAAAAATGTTTGGATGCCATTGTAAACCACTAGTGAGGTAAGGACATTAGTTTTCACACTAGCAAACATTATCTAGTCAGCTGATTTATTAGTTTAAAGAGGATTTACATTGGTACAGGAACATCTACACTCACTTGTCACTAGACAGAAAAAGCTGTTTGGATTATTACACTCATTTAATTAAGGATTGAGGGTCACTTTTATAATTTAGGACCAGGCGTTTGGCTGAACTCAAAGCATATTTAATGAAATCTTAAATGTGTCACTTGTATTAGCCCCATTCCCATAGTAAAACACCCAAGTCTGTTATGACTCTCATGGGACTGTTGCGTAAACCACCAATTTCTCAATAATACTTCATGGGCTGCTGGTTCCTGCCCCTGTTTTAACTTATCCTATCATGGCTTCACTTTCACTGAAATGAGCAAGCCAGGAAAGGGGTATTGGTGTGAAAGTGGGTGAATGAATTCAGGGTGAAAATGTCTGCAGTCTAAGTACTACTTGGAAAGTGACATTAGGGTATGTCCAGAAGGAAGACCACAGTCAGAATAATGCATCCAATTCTGATCACCACGATATAAATATAAAAAAAGATGCTGAGCCCCTAAGAGTGCAGAGAAGAGCAAAAAAAAAAAAAAAAAGTCTAGAAGCTAATCCATATGACTTAAGAGACGCAGAGAAGAAAGGGTTGATTCTGCAAAGCACTTGTCAACAGGACAAGAAGTAACCTGTGGAAGATCACTGAGATCTTCCTGAGAAATTTCCTGACAGTTAAACAATGAGTTTATCCAGAATGGTGTAGGATCTCCTGCTTGAGCAGGGAGTTGGAATAGAAGACCTCCAAGATGCCTCCCAACCCTATTCTATATTCTAAGAATCTTTTTCTGAGGGAAGAAATAGCTCCGAATGCTATTATGTGCAGAGTATTACCGTAGTTCAATACACTGGGAATTTGGAACAGGCAATCTGTTTCTTTCCATAACATTTTTAAAATGTCCCTTTTTGTGGGGTATTTGGGAGGTTGCCTGCAGAGAAGGAGTTAGCTTTTCCCCCTCATTTGTTCTGGCCACCACATTCATCAATATATATATGGAAAACCTGCATTTTAAAAAAAGTATAATCTGCATTCAATATCAAAAACATTGCTAGCCACAATAGCCCTTTTCTACCTAAAACACACTTTGTACAAGTGTGTCAATCTCATTTTCAGGCTGAAATGCTTGGGTTTACTTCTAATTGAACATTTTTATGACCACACAGGAAGGGTAAAGGGTAGGATGTCAGCAGCCTGACCTACGCTCCCATTACAACTTATTTATAACATAATATTTGGGTAACATTTGTAAAATAAATACATGAAAGCATGACCCCTCAAGCACGCTCTATATCATTTTCAAGAAAATACTTTTTTAAAAATTTTGTAGACTACATATGTGGTGTATGCTTTATGATGGTGTACAGTGGAAAATACTTTGGTCTCGGTTACAGGTTGTCATTTTTAAGACAATAAAGTTATTGACAAACTATTGTTCAACTTTTCTTAGAAGACTTTTAGTCTTTTTGGGGGGGGGGGGCGAAAGCCATTTGAAACTCTTCAGTACAATACAGTATTAAAGAAATGCATTTCATTCATATTGACTGGCACTTTCATCTTAACCGCTTCTTTCAAATGAAGGAAACCCAATGGCTATCTTTACATAACAAAGTGACCAAGACAAATAACAATCTAGCAGCTTCATTTGCAAAATATTTGCTTGTTTTGTTAATCTTCCTTACTTTATTTCTGCTTATCTTCTGTGCCCACCACACCAACTGGATGAGTTTATGCTTGAATAGATTGACCTAACTGAGAAAATGAGTTAATTCGTTAGGTTGATTGAGCAAGTTGTTTCAGGAAGCCAATAATTACGTTTGGAGAATTGGAATGGAAACATTGTAGGCTGATCAAGATTTCTCCAAAATTATACCGAAGGCATGTCAATGATGTCAGGTGTGGGAAAGCTGAAAGTACTGAATTGGAGCCTCTTTGTTTGCAGCTCCCAATTCTGAGCAAGAGCCAAGGAATTCAGGGGTTTTGGTACAGATCATTCATTTTTAGGCAGGTTTTTTTTAACATAATCATGTAACATTATGTTCTTCTGATGCAGCTAATGGACTTCAGTCTGCAAAAGTTCATTATATCAACAGTGGCGAAATTAACTTGGATACATTTATAGTCCAGACACAGTGATTTAAGCCCCACTCCCTTGGATGACTCTGCTAGCAAAATCTTCTCTGATTTCCTTTAGTCTTAGATCAAATTTCTTGACAGGTTAACAATAAGCAAGCAAATAAAGGTGTTGTCAGCAGATGCTGAGAATTTTCCAATTTTTCTGTTTAAGTTTTTAGTTTAAACAGTAATATAATTATGACACTGCAGTTTGATACCTCGGACTCTTTTAGCTTCCCTCCCGAAGCAATAACAACTGATAACTCTCTTCTCCTGGAATTAAAACTATTGGGAAAAATACGAGATTCAAATCTTAAAACTAGGGAAGTCTCGTCAGGGGCAAAAGCATTTTAACAACCCATTTTTGTGGGGAGGGTTTTCCTGGACAAAGTATTTGATTTTCGACTCTAACGTAGTTGCCAGACGGCAAAATATATGCATTTGTAAATCGGACGCAGGGGAGGAGCTCAAAGTGTGTGTGTTCCCGTTTCAAAAGGCAATTGCTTATTTATTTATTTTTACATTTATATGACGTCCACCTGACTACCCGAAGTGACTCCAGGAGGCTCAAAGGAAATTGATCAAAGGAAAACTTTTCAGAGCACGAGTTAAGTGAGATTTGAAGCTTCTGGTAAAATGAGAAAGTGCTCTTTTCTTTTTCGACCTCATTCGTGGTTGTTCAGAGGCACAATCGCCAGCTCTTTAAACGTGATAATTTCTGCTCTTCTGCCACTGATTTCAGTGGATGTTTTTAATAATAATAATAATAATAATAATAATAATAAAGTTGGAAGGGACCTTGGAGGTCATCGAGTCCAACCCCCTGCTCTTGAAGCATAATTAGCTTCTCCTGACACAGAGCTGTAGCCCAGGCTTCAACACCCAAATGCCCATTATATTCCTTAAGGCAGACCTACCACCACCCCAGCTATTAAGTCCATTCCAATGCAGCCGGAGGGAGTCAGGTGTTTGCTGTTAGCCTTTCGGAGGAAATCCAGCCCAATCTGAGCACGGCAATCCAAAATGAAATCCTTCCGCTGTCCAGGGTTTCCAACCATTCGGTATTTCTTATTTCCTTTGGGTTTCTCTTTTGGTGAGTGAGGAGCAAATATTGAAACTACACGCCCATCTTTTTTAATGGACCGGCCAGAAAGGGCCCGAAGCTTTTGGAGATTCTGGAGAACCCCAAAACATTATTCTCGGGATAATGAGCCGGGACGGGGAAAGGACGACCGAATCAAGACAACCTGAAGCTTTTTATGGGGAGCGAAACGCAAACTCTTGTGTCTCAAAGCTCAGCTCCGAGCTAGGCTCCCTTTTGATTCCCCAGAGACGAGGGGTAGGCAACCTTGGCTCTTTTATGACTCGAGGACTTCAACTCCCATAATTCCTGAGCTTACCCCTGTTTCACCAGGCGAATCCGTGGCCGTTCCAATCCAGGAGACGAGGAAGAGGAGCTGAAAAAGAAGCCATTCCCTCACTGTTTCCAGGATGGCTTCACGGGCCACATGAAACCACTTGTGGACCGCATCCGGCTCCCGGGCATTGTGTTTGATATGTCTGCCTTAGGGCTTAACTGTCAGATGACTTCCTCAGCTGTCTGGGCTACCAAAGGAAAGCCTTCAGAGATATGGATTTAGAGTAGAATAGAGCTGGAAGTGACCTTGGAGGTCTTCTAGTCCAGCCCCCTGCTCAAGTGGGAGACCCTATAGCAGGGGTAGGCAACCTTATCTCTTTTATGACTCGTGGACCAAATCCTGGAATTCCTGAGCCAGCCATGCTCAGTCATAAAAGAGCCAAGGTTGCCTATCCCTGCCCTATACCATTAAAGACAAGTGACTGTCTACTCTTTTCTTAAAAACCTCCGGTGATGGAGCACTAATGATGTCTGAAGGCAAGCTGTTCCACTGGTTAATTGTCTCACTGTCAGAAAGTTTCTCCAAATTCCAGGTTGCTTCTC